GTCTGGCCCCGGGTAGCGATCATGAGCAGTGAAGGTAGTGCATGGGCTTGAGAGTCCCTGCGATGAGAGTCAGAGTAGTGGTGATGCATGGATGTCGGGTACGCTTTAAAGAGGTAATGTAGCGTGGGATGAGCACCATAGTGCCTGTCATGGTGACAGGGCGGACGAGTGGTTTCCTTGGTAAGGAAAGAGGGAGGAATGAAATTCTTAAAGGGAGTGCGAATTCACGGAAGTGAAAGCGGCAGTGTAGAGTTATGATTGGAGTGGTCCGTCGATGGTCTTTGAGTAGCGTGTTGCGGCGGTAGAATAAAAGCTCATTCGACTTGATATGTTTGCTCAGGGCGCGGAGGGAATTCCACAGGCGTAGAGCCAGGGAGAGAGTCTTGGGCTCTCAGTGAGATTCTGATCAGGGTTTTGGGTATGTATTAGCGGTTCATCCTGGAAGGATGTTTGAGGATATCATCAGTGTATCGGGTTTTCCAAACCTGAGGGTGCTAGAGCTAGATCAGCATGTGTGTGTGATTGCGAGAGGAGAACTCGGGGGAGTTGCTCCGGAATGGAAGAATGGGTCTTTCTGTCGTCATGGAATGGATAGAGTGGGATTCGGATCGGGGATCCGATGGTTCATGGTTTTCTAGCCACATGAGTCAAGTGAAAGATGAGAATTGGAGCAGTAAGGCATCATGGGTAATTCTCGGTTGTTGAGTGCGGTTATCAGAGGGTACATCTGGTGCCCGGGTTAAGTAGGTGGTTGGGACACCGTATGAAAGGAGAAAGTGAACTTCTGGTTTCTATGGTTGTGCCTTGAGGGACTGGGTTCGGTCAAGGTCAGGCGGCGCGTCGTGGGAAGTAAATTGAAGATGAGATGTCGTAGGCTTCGAGGACGAAGCCTAATTTAAGTGGGGGAGAATTGTAACAGCCCGGAATCGCAAGAGTAGAGTTAAAGGGATGAAAGTGTAAGTTTCGGAGGGTGACTCGGCGAGTCCATGCATAGACTCGGCGAGTCAGGTCGCGACTATGGTCGTGTATCAAGTGGCCTACTCGGCGAGTCCAAAGATGGACTCGGCGAGTAGGTGCTGTGTGGAGAAAACCCTAAATTTCGGGGTTGAGCCCTATATAAAGATCATTATGCCCCTCCACAGCCTCCCCTATTCTCCCCTTGAGTCCCAGAAACCCTAATTTCGTGAAGAGCCCCATTGTTGAGCAAATTAGAGCTTGGAGAGGAGTTGGTTGAAGAAATATTGAAGGAGAAGTGGCTTGGATCAAAGGGCTTTGCTTGGATTCGAGTTTCATTACTGTTGAGGCATCCTTTGGAGGTAATACTTTCGTTCTTGGGCTGTGTTCTCCTAGTTTCTCATTTTGGGGTTGTGTGGGTAGCTTAGTTGTGTGGCATCTTGATGTTTGGAGGATGGATCTGAGGTTGCTACCTCAGATCTGGAGTGGGGAAGATCTTAAGAGCATTAAAGCCCCTGTTCTTGTGTTGTTAATGGAGCTACCATGTCCCAAACCTTGGTTCTAAGGTGAATAAGGCCTAGATCTCTTTAGATTCATGTAAAGTTTGCCACTTTACGTGATGGATGGATTGTAGGAGGTTGGATCTATGTTTTGGATCAATTGCATGGCCTGAGATGCTTCTGTATGGATTCAGACCGGTGGTACTCGACGAGTCACATGGGTGGACTCGACGAGTTGCTTGAAGATGGCCTGGAACTCGACGAGTTGGAAGAACAACTCGGCGAGTAGGTTGAAGATAGTCTTGGACTCGGTGAGTCTGTTCTTGGACTCGGCGAGTCTTGTCGAGGAAGTCCCAATATTTCTGGTTGAGCCGAGGAATCGGTGAGTCAAGGGATGACTCGGTGAGTTGGGTGTGAGTGGACTCAGAGTTGTTGGACTTGACGAGTCTTGGGGCGACTCGGCGAGTTGGGTCGTTGATTGAGGGAAGTTCTGAGCATAAGGACTCGGCGAGTCATCGGGTTGACTCGGCGAGTAGGGTCAGTCAGGGGTTGACTTTGACTTGTCCAAGGTTGACCAGTTGTCTTCCAGGGGTATTTTGGTAATTAAGGGTATTTATTGAGTTGTATGTTTTGATGTTCAGTGGAGGAGTTCGTGTCAGATTTCAGAGCAGCGGGATCTTATCCTTTCAGCCGGCAGTTTCGAGGTGAGTTATCCTCACTATATCAATAGGGTCTAAGGCACCAAGGCCAGCCCTTTATTGGATTGAAATTTGGATATGGTTATTATGTTATTGTTTGATGTGTCTGCATCCTGGTAGCTAGGATGGTGCATGCTAGGAGACCTTGTTAAGGTCAGTTTCCCGATATATATAAAGTGATGCTATGCTAGTGACCGGTTAGGTCGGTAACCTGGGTAGGGTAATGATATGCTATGTGATCTGTTTGTTCGATTTGTTGGCTATGACTGTTATATGATTGTATGTTTTGTGCACATGGTTGTTTGGACTGGAGATGGGTTGAGGCGGGTCCTGCTTTGTGCTGTAGGCCAAGATACCCAGGGCGGACCGGTTATTCCGAAGGCCCAATGAGCGGTCCGGATAGGTTGTAGGCCCCACGAGGGCGGACCAGACGTGCCGAGGCTCGGAGAGTGGACCAGGCCGACTGAAGGCTCGATACGGGCGGACCAGTCACACTGTAGACTCAGAGAGTGGACCAGGTGGGTTGAAGGCCCGATGCGGGCGGACCAACCCCACTGTAGACTCGAAGGACATGACTAGACCTGGAGGATGGATCCGATGGACTGAAGGCCCGATATGGCGGACCAGTCACACAGTAGACCCAATATGCATGGCTGTTCTATGTTCTGTTATGTTATGTGTGTTTTATATGTTATGGGCCGGAAGACAATATGTTTTGGACCGGAAGGTCGCAGCCTGGAAGGGCGTATAAGTGGTTGGTATTTTGGGGGTATCTCACTAAGCTTTCGGGCTTACAGTTGTGGTTTAATGTTTTTCAGGTTCTTCAGGAGACCGTGGCAACACGAAGGCGCGATCGTAGCGCTCCTCATGATTTTGTAGCAAAGTGATTCTGGGGATACTCTAAATGAATTGTATTGAAAACCTTTTTGTAAACAATTTAATGAAAATCGGGTGGTTTTTGAAAAATTTAAATTGGTTGTATTTTTCGGATGTTATACTATGCAACAATGTTGATGTCGATTAATGCAACATTAATACATTAATTTGAAAAAAGGGACTTCATAACAACATTGAGATTCCCTACAATGGAATATTATAAAGATCCTTTATAAGGACAAAATCTAAGATAAACTCTTGATGTTTAATTACTCCATATAAGTTATTACTTTAAGTGACTTTAGAAGGAAATTTCAATAGTATATCTAGTATTGTTTGTTTGGAATTGTAAACGAGTGGAGGGCGCATCAAACCAAGTATATAAAAGGTATAATAATCCTTTAATGTTTTAGAGATCAAATTAATGAAACCCTCAAATAAAGATCATTTTTGTTAAAATAATTTTTTAGAACCTTAGTCAAGAAAAATGCAAACCACGGAGACCAATTTTGCAATTTTCTATAAAAGTTTTAAACTTGTATTGTCTATATATATATATATATATATATATATATATATATATATCGGTGTTGTGAAAATCTCGATTAGGTCCCGATTAAATCTTAGGCGCTACTTGACCGATTAGAGGGTGCCTAACGATTAATATCTGCACACACAATGATTGAAACAATAGAACCCGAGGAAAATTGAACACTTTGAAAAAGTTATATCTCAATAGAAACTATTTGAGGTATGATTAATGTTGTATTTATCATATTAACCTATTTTGTTATTATATTAGTGGTATTTACTAACTTTTATATGATATTAGTCATATTTAATTATTTAAAATCTAAGAAATTAACAATTAATGGTCCCCGATTAATCTCCGCCTAACTGATTAATTCATTAACTCCCAATCCACCGATTAGATAACGTCGAACGATTTTTACAACCTTGATATATATATATATATATATATATATATATATATATATATATATATATATATATATGTATATATATATATATATACATATATATATATATATATATATATATATATATATATATATATATATATATATATATATATATATATATATATATACACACACATTCAACATAAAAATTCTAGTGGCTAACATCAATATTTTAAAAATCATTTTTTAGTTGAACCTGGTGACCGATTTCCGATTTAACCGGTTCGACCGCTGGTTCCAATGGTTCGACCATCTGTTCAACCAAAAAAAAATCCTACGGTGATGTGTGTCGGCCTTTGAGTCATTTACATTACAAAAATGTTTTCAATTTGCTTTGCAAATGAGTTGTTCTTTTAGCAGATTAAGGAAAACCCAAATATACAAGTCCAATAAACCGGTCCAAACATTTTTTTGCCGGTTTCATCACATCAGTTCAACCTGGTTTTTTAAGAAATTATCTAATTTGATCCAACTTAAAGATTTGACTTAAAATTGATCGTTGTTGAACCGGTGTAATTTAGTTTATAAAACATTGATTAACATATAATAAACAAGGGTTCAAGCATTATCATGCATGCAGTCTACTATTTTGATCATTAGTCAAACATCTAAAATCGGTCAACAGCATATGAAACTGAATAATAATACATTATACATAGTCTGAAGGTTTCATAATAACTAATAATGATCAAATAAATAAATTCAAGAATTATATGCAAAATATGAAAAAGATATTTCTCAACATAATTCCATCCTTATATAAACCAAATTTTTATTAATCTAACAGGATGAATTCCGTTTTTTAAATATGATATTCTTATAAAAAAAAAATATTAAAAAAATAACTACATATATTAAGAAAATCAAATATTTTGATAAGAAGTACGATTTAAATGGAAACATATTATTTCTTACATGTTACTTTTTTCTAAACACAACAAACTATAAAAATTTACAATCTTTTATAAACAGATAGACTGTAGGTCCCACTAGCAACACCTAGTAACAAACTTCCTTTCCTTGCTTGCCCTTTTCTTCACTTCCATTCCCCTACTCCCAACCTACTTCTCCTTCATATTTCTTCTTTCTTTCCTCCAATGGCGATTTCTGCTTAATTCCTAATCCTGTAACCAGAAACTACTTCTGTTTCCTGCAATATAACCCCCACAAAATTTCCAAAATCGGACACACAAAATGCTGGTGAATTCAGATATGTACGAAGGAAGTGCTTGTTATGATCCTACTCTCATCGATCATCAAGAGGACCATGTCCACAACTTCAATCAACCCAATTTCTCCTCCATTGAAGCATCAACGGATTATCAGCTCATCAACATGGACATGGAACACCAAAATCAAATCATCCATGACCTCAACTGGACAACTCATTCTCATGATCAAATTCAAATCGGAAACGATAACAATTGTTTCCCAAACATGCCTTTAATCACTCCCAACCCAACCCCACCTGATCTCCTTAACCTTTTCCAGTTACCCAGATGCTCAAACTCATCAATCTCGTTTTCAAACCCGACCCACATGGATCAAAACTCGTATGATCCTTTACTTCCATTAAACCTACCTCCACAACCTCCGTTCTTCAGAGAATTGCTTCATTCTTTGCCAAACGGGTATAATTTGACAGGCGGTGGGTCGATATTTGGGGATATGGATATGGAGAGAGAAGGTGTAAGAGGAGACCTTCATCAGTTGTATCATGAAGGAGATGGGATTTTGAAATTCAATGGAGAAATTAGTGGAATCGTTGGAAAAGGAAGAGATGTTAAAGATACTAAACATTTTGCTACAGAAAAGCACAGAAGACAACAATTGAACGACAAATTTGATGCTCTGAAGAACTTAGTCCCAAATCCCACCAAGGTATACATTACCCTTTCATACTTTTGCTCAATTTTGATAACAGCTTCATCTAATTCGTTTTGATTATGCAAAATACAACAAATACTACTTTCAATTTGAAATGTTCGAGTTTAATTGAACATTACAGTAAAATCGACTGAATACAGAGATTAATTTCGCTTTTAAGTTCTGACTGATTTTGGTTGATGATGAACACAAAAGGCGGATCGAGCATCTGTAGTAGGAGACGCAATCGAATACATCAACGAGCTCAAAAGAACAGTGGAAGAACTGACGATTTTGGTAGAGAGAAAGAGATGCAATCGAGGAAGGATGAAAAAACACAAAGCCGAAGATGATTCGACATTAGATGTTGAGAGCATCAGTACAAGGCCAAATGGTGGTGGAGATCACGATCAACAAGCGTATAATGGTAATTCGACTTCCACATTGAGGAGTTCATGGCTTCAAAGAAAATCGAAGAACACGGAAGTTGATGTTCGAATCATTGATGATGAAGTTACAATCAAATTAGTCCAACAAAAGAAGATTAATTGCTTGTTGTTCGTTTCCAAAGTTCTTGATGAACTTCAATTGGATCTTCATCATGTCGCCGGTGGACTCATCGGCGATTTCTACAGTTACCTATTCAATACAAAGGTACAACTGTTTAAGCAATAGTTATGCATTAACGGGTTGTACGTTACAACTCATCAAATTCTTGGAAAAAAAGGCAATCTTTTTATATAAGCTAAATCCAAAAAATAACAAACATATTTTTATATGTTTATTTATTATAAGCATTTTACTCTTATTTTTATTACTCCAACATTATATTTTATATTTTTTGTGTTATGTTATTGTATTTTATAAAGCTTACCAAATTGCAGCATTATATTTTATTTCTTTTTTATCTGAACATTTTATTTTGTCGTAAATTGCAAAATTGATCTTTTTGATATCATAAAACGTAAAAACTACACTTTAAGTCCATTTTATCATTCCAGTCTAGAAAAAATAATTTTTATGCAGATTTAGTCCCTTGAGTTAACTGTCGTCTAAAAAAAGACTGAAACTATATTTTTTTAGAAAATTATCAGAAAAGTCATAATATTTTCAGAAAAGTTTCACTTCAGTTCTAAAATTATTTTTTTTGAACAGAAAAGTCCCGATTATTTGATTTTACACGATAATATATCATTTTCTGTTAAAAAAAATTACTTTTTGTTAACTTTAGCCAAAATAAAATAATCGGGCCTTTCCGTTCAAATTTTTTTTTAGACAAATGAAATTTTTCCGAAAATATTAGGACATTTCTGACAATTTCCGATATCTTTTCGGAAACCACACAGACCAAATCTGCATGAAAGTTTTAATTTGGACTGACCATGAAACTGGACTCGAAATGTATTTTTGGGATACAATAGGGGTCAATTTTGTAATTTACACTATTTTGAAAAACTAACACTATATCAATAAAAAATTCCTTTGAATCCAAATGATATTGTTATAATTTGATAAAATTTTCATTATACAATGAAGTAGAATGGTATAATAAATAAAAGGATAAAGGAATTTATATTGTTTTTTTTTTTTTATATATTTAACTTTTTCTATTATTTAAAAATAAGAAATTCCAAAAAAAATTGTTTGAATTCAGATTTGTGAAGGGTCTTCCGTTTATGCAAGTGCAATAGCAAATAAGCTAATTGAGGTGGTGGATAGACACTATGCAAGTATCGCATCAACTACGGGCTATTAGGTAAGAAAATCCACAATGTACAACTAATAATACACGACGTACAACATCTAATACATAATGTACAATCGTAAAGTACTCTTCTGAAGTATACAGAAAGTGCTGGGTACTATATACATAAGGTATCGTACAACTAACTAACTATGAAGGTACAACATGTTATGCATAATGTACGACCCACTAAAATGTGTTTTAAGTTTCTTGAATTGGGCATACAAAGTATGCAAGTTTTTGTACCTGTGGATTTGTTTACTTTTCGTTAAAGTTGCATATGAATATGTATTTGTTTGGGTATATTTGCTTAAAACCTGATATTATAAATATTTTGATTACATTTCTTGAATAAAATTTTAATAATAATTGTGGAAGTTTTACGATTATAATCTTAACTACTATAAAATTTATGAATATACAAGAATAGCACTAAATTGTTCAAGAGTAATTGAATAATAAGTGTACTTGTAATTTTCTTCATTAATTTTTTTTTTTTTTTTAAATGGGTTTTGTTAATATGACCTTATTTTTATTGCAGTGACAAAAAATGATCTTGGCGTTGAGGAGGAGAGTTCTGGAATAGCATAAGTGGACGGAAGTTTTAGATGACTTGGGATTTTAGATTAATTAGTTAACACAACACACTACAAGCAGCTTTTTACTAATTAATTATTAGAAATATATAATTATTTGCGGTTCAAAAAATATATATATTAGAAATAAAGGTAGGGGCAGTTTGGACAACAACCAAGTTTTTATTATTTGGATCATATTATGATATTTGCTTATTAATTTTAATAGGTAATGTCATGACAACAAAAGATATATAATTTAATATTTTGAATACCTATCTTTTAATTAGTGTATTTGATAAGGTAATTTATTTTTTTTTAAACGTTTTTATAACACCTATAGTTTATTTCGATCGCGTAACTCTATCATATTGTATACTACTATGGTGGAAATGTCAAAGTCAAACAAACCGGAATGAATAAATTCAACTATATTGAATGGCCCAATGGAACACAGGTACGATTTGATAGCCGTTTATTAGTTAAAATATACTATATTAAATACAATTATACGATAAGTAACTAGAAAAGAAAACTACTGCACAGTTTTAGTTTTTTTTTTTTTTTTTTTTTTTTTTTTAAACGGAAAACCAAACTATTTACCAAAATTGTTAAGATCAGAATTTATATATAATCGTTTTCGGGTTTGTACGATCGGAATACTAAGATCCCACCGAAATGTTGTAGGGAAATTTAGGGTTTGTGGTGAAGATCTGGATACCAATTTGGACCGTGATATCATTTTCAAACTGATATTTCTACCTTATGTCTGGGTTACAAGAAATTCAGTCTATGATAATCCAAGTGAACACTTACGATTCTAGGCACAGAGATTGTAAGCCAATTTGCTAGAGGATTCTGTGAAAGTATGATGAAAAACGAGAGCTTAAAATCGTAACCATCTTCTGAAGAGGAAAAATTGTTTATATATTAAATGAGATTAGGGTTTCATTAGGGTTGGGTCGTCATTAGTTGCTTTGGAAGCAAGTCATGATAATCCATATTTAATGAGGATTTAGGCTTACCAAAACTAACGAGTTTCATTAGTTTTACCATAATCACCTTCAAGAAATTTAATTTTTCCACTATGTTCCCATATGTAAAATTCGGTGAAATGTGGGTAAGAAGACTGGGTCAATTAGTAAATAGGTTAAAAAAATTGAAATATGGATTAAATTGTCAATTTTCTAAAAGTGGTATGAATAATCAAACTCTTGTGAATCCATATAAACCTGATCAACAACCACTCAAGGAATCTCAACTTCTTTCAAACCTTCATTTGTCTTCGAATTTTTGTTTTCTTCCTCCTTATCACTATCATCTATTTGAATATCATGTATTTCCACAAAATCCATATCACAAACTTTCGAAGTTGAGAGTTGATCAGTGTCAATTTTTACCAATAATTCTTCACATTTTTCTTTCCCTTTAAAAGAAGTTGCAACATTTATTACAGACAATTGAGAACAATCTACATCCTCTAAATCACTAATTTCACTAATATTATCAGAATTATCTTCAATATCAGCAAAATTAAATTGAGAATTAGATGTAGAATTCTTAGTCTTTTTCAAAATTCGAATTTTTTCTGATTTAGTTAAGATCTCATTCACAATTTTTACTAAATCATCAGCATCAAGATAATCTTCAACTTTTGCAATTCCATATCTATACCTATCATCTGGAACTTTGTTAAAATCAGCTATTTCTTTTTCACAATCATATGAAATACTATCTACCTTAGCTCTGTCATAAGCTAAAAATGGTAGCAACTTTCTATGTTGTTCCTTACTAATCTCACTAGAATGATGCAATTCAGTTAATTTTCCATAGTCTTTTTGCAGAATTACAAAAAATATTACGCTGTGCTAATAACAAATTTATCTCTTTAGCTAAACTCTCCCTATCTACCATAATATTTGAAACTTGCAATTCTAGATAATCAATCCTAGTGACTTTTGAATCTAACTTATTTCTTGTCTCTAGTAATTGATCATTTAACTTTTTCGCTTCATTGCTAGCATACACGACAAGTGAATCAAAGTAAGTAACAGTTTCATCAAAAGATACTAATTCAGAACTACTATCTACCTTAGCTCTGTCATAAGCTAAAAATTGTAGCAACTTTCTATGTTGTTCCTTACTAATCTCACTAGAATGATGCAATTCAGTTAATTTTCGATAGAGTCTTTTTGCAAAATTACAAAAAATATTACGCTGTGCTAATAACAAATTTATCTCTTTAGCTAAACTCTCCCTATCTGTCATAATATTTGAAACTTGCAATTCTAGATAATCAATCCTAGTGACTTTTGAATCTAACTTATTTCTTGTCTCTAGTAATTGATCATTTAACTTTTTCGCTTCATTGCTCGCAGACACGACAAGTGAATCAAAGTAAGTAACAGTTTCATCAAAAGATACTAATTCAGAATTATATGCAGAAACTGGAATATTAAAAGATTCAAGAATGTTACGTACCTTCGTTGTCATAGGCGACCTGTCAGTAGACTTCGATACGAAGCACTGCCCACGCACTTCGTAATTCTGCTCTTCATCTGAATCCTCTTCAACCTTTGCAAACATGGCTCCATGTGATGGATTCTTCATCTCTTCATCGTCAGAGCCTAAAGACCATATTTGATATGTACCATCTGATTCATTTTCTCCATGAGCCACCAGAGACAGATTCTTTGCTTTTGACTTTAGTTCCTCCAACTTCTCAGTATAATAAGCTTCATCCTTTGTTTTATTTTTCTTTTCTTCCTTCTTTCTTAACAAACAATATAATGCCAAGTGATTAGCACCATTGCAATAGTGGCAATTAATATCAGTGTCACCCTTTAACTTCTTTTCTATTTTCTCCACTTCGCTCTTCGAATCCTTCTTTTCTTCCTTCACCTTTTCATCCGTTCTACTTTTGTTCTCATAATTTCCCTTCGAATCTGATGACTTGTTTTTTGTATTAATAAGTTTCTTAAAAAATTTCTTTACTCGATTATTTGAGTAAAATGCAACAGCCTCATCATCAAAATTCACCAGAAAACCTTCTTCTTCATCAGACTTCGATTTTTCACTTTCTTTTTTTGAAACCTTCAAAATTAGTGCAAATGGACCACCAAGACTTGCCATAGCTTCCTCAGCTATTTCATTAACCTCATTTTCATGAGATTTCAATTGATTGTATAAGTCATTTAAAGTCGAAGTGTCAAAACTCTGCTGATTTTTCACCGTCATGCTTACACTTCTCCATTCCTTTCGAAGTCCCATTACAAATATCAACTTGAACTCCATTGATGACCTTGTGATACCATAACGATTACAACGGTAGATTAACTCGTTAAACCGATCATAGTAAACTTCAATGGATTCAGACTCCTTCTGTTTGAAATCCTTTAGTTCCACTAACCATTGTTTCACAGAAGTGATCTTCGTCTTTTCACTGCCTTGAAATTTGTCTTTGAGATTGTTCTAGATTTCTTTAGCTGTTGTGCAAGTCCTGACATAATTGTACACAACAGGAGGCAAAGAACCTCTTAATTCTCTCATGCACCTCTTCTCCAACTGTTTCAAACGATTAGATTGATTATCAACCTCCGAACTGCTTGAATATGCATCGATTGGCTGAACTGTTGCAGGTGGATTGATTTCTCCTGAAATGCAATTCCATAGTTCTTCATCCAATCCGTTCAAGTAGTCTTGCATACGATCTGCCCACTGATCGTAATATTCTGGAATTAGCATCGGAATCTTTGTGGATGATCCAAGCAAATGAGAAAATGATGTCATGGAGTTAAGATTGAATGACGCCATTGTTGTAGTGAACAAAAACTCAAGAATATTATGAAAACTTGGAGAATTTGAAATCAAATTGTATATTTCAGATTAAAATCACACTACAAACAAACGATTCACAAAAAATTTCGCAGAATCAAATCCTAGACCTAGATCAAGAAGTATTTTCCACACACAAAAAGAACGGAAACTTTTTGAATCAAACAGTAGACTCAAAAACCTTTTTGAACATATGAAAAACAGATCACAGAAAGGATTCCTGATCTGATACCAATTGATGAGATTTGGAATCAAGTTTGAATGTAATTCTAGTATTAATTGAGTAAAGTATTTAAACGATGAACACGAGAGTAAATAGAATCTATGTTCATCTCGTATTATGCCTTTCAGTTTACAGAATACAATGACTATATAGTAAATCTGTGTGTAAAGTCATCTTGTAGATCACTAGTACATACCCCTATTTATAGGAGAACAAAAGCATAACAAAAATACTAAGGACTAAATGTTAAGTCTTGACTTTATAATGCCTTAGTAAAATAACTATATATACGAAGACCCATACATACGAAGACACAAGATTCTTGGTAACAACCAAACTGACTCTTCGACTATTACAGCATTTTAGCCCTAACAGATCAGATCCCGATCCTACGATCCCATGTACGATCTTACATATAAAGCGATCCTATTATGATCTTACATAAAGTGGTAGGTTTGTGGTGAAGACCGGATCTGGAATCTTTGTAAGTCCCTAATTTTCCTCTGTATCAATCAGATCCGTTTGATGGTGCGGAATCCCAATCAAACGGATGATGTCAGATCAAATAGAAGAGAAGGAGAAGAAGAATAATATGAATCTATGTATGAATTGATTAGAATGAAGATCTGGATACAAAAGATTCACACACACAAAATGCTCTCTAGTTTCTCTCTCTCTAGAACACCTTCAAATGCACACACTTAAGCTCCCCTAGTGTCCATCAATCTCTACTCCTCACCCTAACACCTATATTTATACTTGGAGAACATGGGTCGTAAATGGGTTTACGGCCGTAAGGTGTTTACGGTCGTAAACTCAACCGTAAACATGATCGTAAAATCCAAAAGTATTACAGAAAAATACAATTGCCCAGAAAAGCAAAGTATAAACCATATTTTGACCCAACAATCTCCCCCTTGGTTTGTAGCTTTCTTTTCTTAATTAACCCTACAAGCTCTCCCTAAAAAGTAGCTGGCTCTTCTTGTCAGTCTTCAATGGGAGCTTGGCTTCAGCTTTAACCTTCGATTTCCTCATAGCATCAGGATGAACATATGAATCTTCAATGAATGACTTCATCTTGAGAAGTTGGGATTTTCTTCAAAATTTGACATTGAATGCACATTGGGTGAGGAGGCTACTTGAAAGGATTCTTGAAAGATAGCGCTTTCAGCTTGAGAATCTTCAGAGAGAACAAATCTTCTGGATCACTTCAGCAGGTA